ATCTCTCTTGGCTCAGTGCTCTCCCGAGATGTCGGCAGTTCGTTCTAGCTTCAGAATCCGAGTGCGCTTGGTGAAGGATGGGTTCGTGATAGGTACCATATCTCGGCATCGCGGCATCCCGAGCGTCGAATTGCAGCGAGTTGCTCGACAGACCAAATCGGTTAGCAATGGTTGAGGATGTAGCATGCGAAGAGATACTGAACGAGTATCTTCGTGGGTTGAGGAGGATGCTAGCCACTGGGAAGCATCGAGTCAGCTCAAGTCATCAGGATTATTTCGAAACGTAACAAAATTTGTTGGTGCAGCGCTTACAATATTTTCTTCAGACGCGCGGAGAGGCTCCATGAGGCATTGTCGCGGAGACTAGGGAAATTGAGTACCCAGCAATATTCGTCACTTGGCAGTGGACGCGGTCACTCCTTGCAGTTTCTCGTAGGAGCCAGTATAGTCGTAGACGTGATAGGAGAAGCAGGCCCCAGGATTTGAGCCCGGTGTCTGTTGAGGAAGAGCTCAGCCCTCGATGCCCTCCACAAAGGATCCGATCACCAAGGCAATGGGATAGCTCCGTACAATCTTTCGTTGTCGATGACAACTTGTCATTTCCCCATCGACTCTTCCTCGCCATAGTTGCTTGTCACTATGTGGCGAGCGAGTAGCACTGTAGAGCGGATATATTCGTCATTTAGCCTTTTTGCTCGATCCCTCATGAATATCTATTGCAATACGTCTACCTTGTAGGCACTTGTCTCATTCTCGTTTTCTTTTTCTATTCCTATCATCAACCTTGTTGTTCCTATTGCAGTCCTCTGAGCGATAGAAACAGGGATGCTCGAGCGAGCAGCGAGACTATGGGGGCTAGGAGTTACCCAGTAGGTGGCCGCCACTGCATCATGCTCGCATACTCTCGTGATTAGGCATCGAGCAGCTCTTCCTGGACAGCTTCCCGACGGCTGCCCTCGCGGTGGACACTGGGACGGCAGTCCGTGGAGTCCTTGCCGCTATCCACGCCCGAGAGGTACGTTGTGTGTGCATGGTGTAATTAGTTATACCACTCCTCCCGTAGTTCGTGTGTGGGTTACCCCTCCCATCCGAGAATGAATGCCGCACGACACTGTGCCCGGCGTGAACCAAGTTCCCCTAAGCTTGTGAGAGATGCCCGCGAAATGTCTTCGTGCTCGAAAGATAGGGCTAACCAAGGGGTCAAACCAGAGCCTCTGATAATAACGGGCTTTGAGGAGTTTGATGAGGAGCCCGCGGAGAGACGGAGAGAGTCTGGAAGGGTACTCATTGGCTCTGCTGAAGATATTTATGAGGTTGGAAAGAAAGTTGAGCCGAACAGTGTAGGAGGGAACGATGATCAAGAGAGGTAAGGCGACACTGGGAAGTTGCTTTCCACGTGTAGTCCAAGATGGTTTTGATCGATATGTAGGAGAATTCAGCAGTGATAGTAATGACTTTTCGCACTTTCGCATTACGATGTCCTCGGTAGCTCAGTATTGTCACTTCTCAGCGCTAGCTGCCTACTTCCACACAGGTACTCCTTAGCTTCCGAGGAGCATCACATCCACGTGCCCTCGTCATCCTCAGCATCATCTCTCCCCCTAGGAGGTGGGGCTCTATTTCTTGGGTATCCGTAGCCCTGACATCGTGCAGGTGCCGACGGTTA